GAGCATTTGCTGCTCGCTGTGCTGTCCTAAAAGTGCGTCGCCCACCGCCCGTCAGCGCAGCTGCGGGGTGTGGTTGGGAAGCCGCCTTGCGTCCAGATGTGTATTTCCAGGCCAATGCTTCGCCTGTGGCTGACTCGCGGTTGCGCCTGAAATGTGTAGTGCGCAATGGCTCCCAGAAAAAAAGGATGAACTGATTCCTTGTCCGTTGCGTTTCTGCTTTGCGGTCGGGCGATCGCGAGTGCAGGTGGCAGCGAACCTTGCTCTCGGTAGCAAAATTCGCTCTGCCTCCGTGGGGGTGCGGTCCCACAACTTAGAGCCATTTCCGTGCACGCCGCGAGGGCAATGCTTAAGGGGGGAAATTCTACGCACCTTTGTGGGGGCCCTAACGCCGGGTGCCGACGTCTTAAAATTGTATGCTGTAAGCTGTTGACTCAGGAGTTCCATTCACACTTCTCAGACTGTATAAAGTGCGGTGCAGAGGGCGCCCTCTGCAGCATAAAGGCCAACAAATGGCGTCCACAGAGCGGCGTCACTTTAGCTATCCAAGCCCATACCGTAAAGGACCTTGGCCGCCCCAGGCCGGTGCAGAATCGCTCGCCTTGTTCATACGCCCGCGTGATCTTGCCAGAGCCCTAAGCAGGACGACTCCCGCGCCCGCGTGTAGTTGCGAAAATTCTGAGGCATCGCCGCGTGGTGGGCCCCAACGAAGGGGCTCCCACGGTGGGGTGGCGGCGGAAATTCCCACAGAGAAGAGAAAGCGGCAAGGGCGGGTAGCTGGTGAGCAACAGCCGAAGGGGCTGGGTCACTGGTGGTGGTGGTGGTGTTCGGGCGCTCTCTCCGATGCGGTGGCGGCGTTGGCCCAGGGCCGCCCGCACCGCCTCTGCGTCTACGTTTGTGTGTTGGTGCGGGGCGCCGGGACAGGGGGACCACCACCACGCACTCTCGCAAAGAGCACGCACTCGCCGGTATCGAATTAGGCAAGACCGCGCAGCCCCGCCATCTTGGCCCCCACCCCCCACAGCTCTCTCGCGATCGTTCGGGGGATTGCGGAACCGCACTTTGCGGCCAGCGCGCGAGCAAGTCCACCCCCGCAAGTTCCCATGCCCCCGTGCTACGTTGGAAACTTGCACGCGTAATCTCCGAGAGGGCCGCCAAGAGAAGGGCGCCGCCAAACAGTCAACGATGCGGCTTCATCCCGCACCACGCTGGGGCAGCGGGAAAAAGCGACCCAGCGGAGCCTCCGCCTCCCCCATGGTATGTCCGTTTATTTGTTTTTACTTTTCTTCGCCCTATGCGATGCAATGCGCCGCCGTCTCCGCCCAGGCTGTTCCTTCCCCGCCGTCACCAAAGGCGCCGCCCAACTTCTTGCGGGCTGCGCTGGCGACGCTCGCCATTTTCATACGTGGCACTTCCTTTTTTTTTGCCATCCTCAAGCGTGATTTCGAGTTTTTGAACAACAGCAGTGCTTGGGTGACGCGCTGAGCAACCCCCCCCCCCCCCCCCCTGCCTCGCCGAAGCGGTCGCGCGCCTTCGGCTACATTCCGCCGCCCAATCCACGTACGGAATGGACTGCCCGCGCCAACGCCTATTTTCTTCTTCGCATAAAAAAAAAAGAAAACGCTTCAGTTTTCTGCGTGAATTGCGGGGGCCCGGGGCGGAGGGGCCATTGCGGGCGCAGCGCCTCGGAAAGCCGCAAGGTTCCCCACGCTCGAGCGCACACTTCGTCCGTAGCTCTGCGCTGGGTCGCCCGTTGCTCACGACGTTTGTTTGCCCGGTGGTGGGATACCTGAAACCAAACGCCTGCGTAACGCGCGGCCTGGAAACGCTCGTCTTCCGGCGGGAATCTGCCCTATCGCGCCGGCGATGCGACGCCGCCCCGCCCCGGGTCAGCGCCGGCACCCAGTGGTTGGGGGCCGCGGAAGGGCGCCCGCGAGCCCCCCGCCGGAAAGCGCCCGGGGATGCGCGAATCCTACTCAAAGAGAGCTTTAGGGATGGGGTCTGTGGGTCCGAAAACGTGCAATCGGGCTTCGGGTTCCGGGGTGGGGGGTGGGGGGCGTTTCTAGAAGGCGCCGGGCGGGAAGGCGCCCGCCGGAAATTTGGGAAGCGCGGCTGGCGGTTTTTTTGTTGGTGGCGTTTTTTTTTTTTTTTTTGAGGTCGCGCCTTTCGCGTTTGTTGGGAGCTGCGCGGGGCCTCGCTCTTCCGCGCGGCCTCGCAGAAAGGGGCGGCGCTTTGGGCTGCTGGCGCGCCGGGGGGTGGGGCCGCGGGCCTCCGGAGCCAAAAAAACGGCCGGCCCACGACGGGAGGTGACGCCCACCCGAATGCCGCGGCGCCCGGCCAGGGCCGCCGGAGAAAAGCGGGCGCCCTCGCGTGCTGCTTCCTTTTTGTTCTTTTTTTTTTCTCGGCAGAGCGGAACGGGAAGAAGAAAGCGAGATGGGGGCAGGCCGTCGCGGGCGTGACGCGAAAGCCTCCTGCCGCGCGGCGGCGATAAAAGGCCCCTGGCGCCGTGTCAGTGGGAGAAAGCCGCGCAGCGCCCCTCACCGCGGCGCCATTCTTGAAAGAATGCCTGCCCACCCTGCGACCCCCGCGGCGTAAACAGCGGCCCGCGCCAGGCGTTGCCCCGCGGAGCCCTCGGTGATGAATCGCAGCGGCGGCGCTCCCAACATGTTGCAAAGCGAGTGGGAAAATATGGTGGCGAGAACGTTTTTCAAGCAAACAGTCGTGAAGTAATAGCCGCTCAGCAAGCCGTAGACAAAGGCGCACCCATAGGCGATGGCAAGTTTTTCTAGCGCCCGTTTCCAGTAGACGCGCGGGCCGGCGCCAGGTTCACCCGATTCCCTCGCGCTCTGGCATTCCTCCGCGGCCATTGCGAATATGAGGTGGGAATGGGAAAACGCGAACAGCACGGAGGAGACGGCGATTGAGCATGCCGCCGGCCGCCGGCGCAGCAGGTGAAGAAGTAGCGCCCGGTAGAAGATCTCTTCCCCGACCGGTGCCAAAACGTAATCCCTAAAGAAAACAATCGGGTCGGTCCCGGACCATGTGGGAAACCGAACGCCCTCCACAAGCGGGCCGCTGAATAGCACCAACGTCGCCACGCCGGTCCCCGCAACCAGCGCCAGAGACTGGGAAATCGTGCGGTCACCGGGGAAAACGGCGTGACGCAGGAGAACGCTACCCCAGAGCGGCTGGCAGGCGCCGGGCTGCCTGCGAAGAAGGCCCTCCAGTAGCAGCGCGCTCGCCCCCGTGGCGCCAACAAACGACACTGCGCGTCTTCGAATCGTCGACGCGTCATCGCGAACGACGCGGCAAGCCTCATCCATGGACGCCGCTTCGAGGTCTCTCACGCACCGGCGTGCGAATTGACGCTCCCTCGGCCACGCGTAGATGGAACCGACAAAGCCGCCGGAGAGAAGAGCACAAAGAGCAATGTCAGCCATGTTTTCCCTCCTTTTATCTTTCTTCTTCTGTGTGTGTGTGCGTGTGTGTGTGTGTGCGTGTGTGTGTGTG